GTGGGGGTGGGGGACGGGGATCCCCGATCCCCATCTTTGTTTCCGTCTCCGTCCCCATCCCCGTCAGGGAATTTGATCACATTCTCATCCCTGTCCCCAACAGGGAAACGGGGAATTTTTTTTCGTTTCTGTAAGTTTTTGCAAGTTTTTTTAAATAAAAATTTATAAGACGTCGCACATGTTTAAACCTCACATTTTTCCATTAAACCTAAAATCAAAAGAAATTTAATTTAATACAAGAAATATACATCATCATATAATAATTAAAAAAATCGAAAACCAAAAAAAAGTTATATTTAATCTAAAAATTAACGTCACATGTAACAGAACATATCGAATAATATCTAAAACCACATCTAATAATATCCAAAATATATTGAAATAAAAAATTATCATTTATCAATTTAATAGAAATAAATAATATATAATATAATGTATTAATGGTATATATACGGGTACGGGGAGGGGTATCCGGTTTGAGCCAAACGGGGGTACTCGTTCCCGTCCCTTAGACCCAGTTTAAAGAGGAATCCATTGTTTAATTGATTAGCGTTTACTTGACTTCATCGTATCCACGCTGCAGTATGTTGTAACGTTATTTAATTTCAGTTGGGTGAAATTTGACGGATTAAAAGAAAGAAAGATATTTATAACATTTGTTACAATGGAAGTATTATTTATTTCAAACGCACTTTAATCTCGTGTTCAACTCCCATATCCCATTTTTTAACAAGGTCTATTATTAGTATGTGTGACATAATTAGGGGGCGTTTGAGATTGCTTATAAAAACAACTTATTGACTTATTCTGATGTGACACCGCTAATTAGCACTTTTAAGTGTTTAAATAAACAACTTGACATCGGTAATAAGAAGTTTTTGAAGAAGTTAAACTCTTCTGACTTATAATAAGTTAGATAAATACTTTTATAAAAAAAATAAGTTATTTCAAATAATCAATCCTAAACACTTCGTTAGGAAGACATTTTCAAGCAGAAGAAATCAAGAAAATACGGTTCATAAACTTTTTTAGTATTTAACTAATGTTGTCTTCTAAAACGTAGAGTAGCAGCATATATTTCCAATCCAACGACTAAATCCAACAGTATGGTCAAAGGAATGGTCAATTACATAAAATAATATTGTGTGCAAGTGGATGAACCTTGAAACCAAAGCAAATGACATGGTGAAAGATGATTGAACCCCCCAACTTTTACCTTTGGAAAACATCAAGGAGTCATGCTTTTCTAAGCAAATGGTTCAGAACCTGCAGTAGACACGTTACTTGATGTTTCAAGGGCACGATCTGCCATTGTTGAAGATGGAAGCTTCTGCAACTTATAGACAACAAGGTACTTAAAAGAAGGAACCATTTAAATATGGCAAGTACAACAAGACAAACTAGCTTCAAGAACCATCAACCAAACCCCAAAATAGAAAGTTCACAGTAGGATTACAAGGCAACAACAAGAACAACCCTAACCCTAATCAAACTATGATTCAAGGAAAAAGAGAACAACAAAAATCCTACCTTTCTAGTTTCTACCCTACCAAAAGAGAACTTGATTTGAAAATGGCTAGAAATTTGATGGGGGAGGGCGTGGGGGAGTAGCCCAAAACATGTCTGGATGCATTTGACCGTTTGGCAAAAGTTTCGGGGTTTGGTTGTAAATCGACATTGAAGAAGATGGAATGTTCTCCGTCTGAGGTGCAACCCCTCCAGATTTAGGACTGTTCCCTGCATTTAACCCTGATGTTTGCTGTAATTGCATTTCGCTACCTTCCCCCGTTGCTCCTCCCTCCTCATCCAATGGCAGCCTCTCGTAAGTCGCGTTCGTGAACGTGGCCGCAATCACCATAACCGGACCAGACGCCACCAGCTGACCCACCACTGTTCCACCTACCACCTGACCTTGACCACCTGCTAAGTATACTGTCAGCCCGGTGGCTCCGGGAGGAGATGGTGCAGGCAGGAATGCACCCGATAGAGATAGAATCTCGAACCTCCCCTGAAGAGTCAGCACCCCACCCGGTGCGGCCGGCTGGCGGAGAGTGACATTGGTGACGATGCCGCTGCCGCTCAATACCGACACACCACGGTGACGCCGCTGTGCAAATGTCGCTACACACTCGGAAATGTCGCTGCCACTGCTGATTTCCAGCACGTGGCTCCGGAGAGCATTAGGGCTCTCTTTCGTGATCACTATTGGCGGTTTCGGCTTGTTCTTTGAACCTGGTGGCCTCCCTCGCGGTCGGCGACCACCGCCGGAGCTAGTCGGTTCCGAGATCTCCAACGACCCTCCTCCCCCAATATTATTGTGTTCCTGGTTCCCAAACTCTTCATCGTTTTCCTCGTTCTGATCATCATTCATCTGGTTAGGGTTAGGATTCTTATTCGAATTGCTCCCCGTACTATTCGTAGCGGCTTCCAAGAACTCTTGCTCCATCCTAACCTGCCCAACCCTGTTCAACCCCGACTTGTCATCCTCGACCGTGTTTCTCAAGTGAAGCGACGGCGGCTGTCCCGAAGATGTCATCGGATTTAAGCCTACATTTCCAGCCCACCATCGGTTTGCCATGATTCTACAAATCAAAAGATTAGAGAACCGCCTTTAATCACTTGCCGTTTTCCTTGAATCACAACTTGACAACGATATCACTTTCAAGGTTTATCCAACTTGTCTTTGTCTGGTAGTTGCAGCAAATTTAGAGATCCAGTAGATAAAATCTAAAGAAAACAAAACGATAACCCTTATCCGTTAGCTGCACCCATTTGCATGGAAACCCTAATCCTCAAAAACCCCAGATCTGTATCACAGTAGAGTATACCAAAATAACCCAGCAACTTGAAACACCAGACTGAAACTTGGTTTGCAAATCAGGCAAGATTCAATCTTAATTACCTGTACATGTATGTGCAGCTAGAGAGAGAGAGAGAGAGAGAGAGATGGTGTAGAGTAGCAGTCTAGTGGAAGAAAGCAGGGTTTCAGGTCTGCGGGTTAGTTTCTGAGCAGATGAGGGCGATGATGACGACGCTTTTTCCTTCTTCTTCTTTTTAAAGAAAAGAGAAGAGGGAGTGAGAGTGGGCACACAGGCGTACGATAAGGGAAAGCAGTAGTTTAAGCAATGGCGGTTTGAGAGAAGCAAAAGGTATTTGATTATGTAAAGGTTCGAGGTGGTTGATGTTATCTTGTGAAAGGAGATGAGCCAATAGGGCATAGGGGGTATCGGGGAACACACAGTACAGCTGGTGAGATATTGGTAATTTTGACATTTTATCATCTTTACGCGTTGCAAATTGCCACAATCCTGACTGGTCTTATTATTCCTTTTTTGACCAAACATTTCCTTTTCTTATTTACATTAAAATTTAATGTTTAATTACCAATCCTACTAGATATTAAACTATTACTTTAGTAACTACATTTATATTAAAGGGATTAAAGTATTAAATAGTTGTAAATCACAAGCATCAAAATAAAAATAAATCGTAAATCATAAAAACAAAAATGACAATGAATTACAAACTATAGAGACGAAAACCACAGTTTTCTTAACCATTGGGACAAAAATCTCAATTTTTAACAAAACATATGGATGAAAAACGTAACTTACTGAAGAGTAAATTACATAAACCGCCCAGTAGTGTCTTATAATCAAACTCTATCAATAATCACAAGTCTTTCTAAAATGTTGTAGATCTTTCAGGGTATAAATCTTCTCATATCGTTCTTTCTCGACGCTAGTATCCGTTAAGTGATTTTGACATGTTAGTTGTATAAAGGTGTTTGTTCTCAATCATTTAATTTGGTAATAATATAAATACATCTGATCCAACAATTAGAATAATTCTTAGATAAAGTGATTGTCTTTTAGAACCATTCGGGTTGTTGTATCCGAATTGATAACAATCAAAATTCGGATTTCGTATCCAGATTAATATTCAGATTTGATATCCGGAATAATATTCAGATGTGGTATCAAGACTTGTGATTTGATATCCAAATCCATACTCAAACTTGGTACTCAATTTTGTATCAAGATTTATTATTCAGATTTAATGTTTGGACTAAACATCCAGTTCTATTATTCAGTGGTCAAAATAGGGGATCCAAATAATTTACAAGTTCCAAGCTTAATACTTCATATAACAAATGTCTTGCTGGTAGCCGAAATATATCTCATGTTTTGGAAAGATGATAAATTTCGTTTGTAAAAGTGTTGTAATTATCTGTATTGAACCAATAACAAAATATCTTCAACAAAATCGAAAACTAGTTGAAGTGAGACCAAGATAGTAACTAAAGAGGATTGGAATGTCATCTAGCCGAATGAAGATCTATACAAGATATAGTCAAAAGCAATGTGACAAATACTACTTCTTGCAAGCCAATTTAGGAGTGGAAACTTAACCAACAAGTTTGACTCACCAACTTTACCAACTCTTCTCCTAGTATAGGAATATGTTTGACATGTTAGACAAAGTAAGTCCTAAAGTATTACTTATTAGTACAATACTTCCTTTATTGTTCCATCTACATACAGAAGGTAGAGTTGAAATCAGATAAAAAAACCATGTTAAAGTTGGACAACAACATTTAAAAAATTAATGGCTATAAAAGGTTATCTTTGTCATATATTGTGAGTCATACGTTTTCTAAGAAATATTGAGTGATGGTTTCTTAGGCACAAATCAACGTCAACCATCTGAAGGACTATATTTGTACCTCAGATCTGAAAGAGTGTCTTTTTCTCTTACACTTTTTGTCCTTAAGCTAATTTGTCACCGACCAGATAGTTTAGAATCAAGTCTTACATGCCTAGCTTCCATAACAAATATGAAATTCTTTGTTTTTAATAAACATACATAATTAAAAATGAAAATCTATTATATTTGTATTCAACCCCCTTCTACAAACACTTAATGGTGTTAGTCATCACCATTCCAAGACCAACAAAATGGTATTTTAGTCTTTTCACTAAAAAATTTAGTATTAATTTAAACGTATAAGTTGTAAACATTTTAAAAAACGAAGAAAAAACCCAAAAGGAAACCCAACCATCACCCCATTTCCCTTCTCCTCACGGGCACACATCCTTCCTTTCTTTAGTTTTCTTCTCTAAAAAAACAAATGAAAATTCTAACCGAATTCAGGAATCCACTTTGGGGAAAAAAACTTAATGACAAAAATATCAAGGTTAGGGGCAAATGTAGCCAAGTGGATCAAGGCAGTGGATTGTGAATCCACCACGCGCGGGTTCAATCCCCGTCGTTCGCCCATCAATAAATGGACCMTTTGTTACGGAGACAGAAGACAAACCTAGAAAGCTTTTTCTTTTCTGCAAGTCATCACTGGAGGCTTCAAACACATCCAAGCAATTGGTATCTGATTGAAGCATAGAAATAGATTAACTTGAGAACCCATTTCTTTCATTTTCCTCTCAAGAAAAAGCCCACTTGCTATTTTCTTTCCATTTCAAGTGGCTACCTGCACTACTGTTCCTCTTCTTCCCCTTCTAACCACGTTTCAACGCTTGCAACGTCGATGAAAAATTGTAACACCCCAAACTTCCACATTTTCATATAACATGTACTTCATATAAAAAGAAATACGATTTACACCACAAAGGTCCCACTAGTATAATGATCTTATATACATAATTTACAATTCAAAAATTTTAAAAGAATATACTATTACTATCACATGTATAACAACATGTATCTTCAAAATATATCAGTCAACAGATTGATCTTCAAACATCAGATAAACATATTAGGAAAATAATCATATTTTTCTCTTCCCCTTATTATCTCGAGATTTGCAATGCTTATTTTAAAAACATAAAATAAGGGTTAAACCAGGAGGTCTAGTGAGATACCCTTGTTTTGCAATTACAAGGTGAAGATCACCAAAACCTATTTGAAATCCACATTTGAAATAACCAACCACTTTATATCAAATATAATTCCAGTAGACAAAACTGCAAGTCATAAAATAATCTTACCACATAAGAAGATTAACCACTCAGATTCTCACAGACATCTGAAATACAACTCTCAAACTCACAAGTCATAACTGATTCATAGCTTATGGTCTCAATCCCCAGGGTTATAAAAGAGTAAGAATAAATAACAACCACCAGAGTTCTTGGTTATTATCAAAAGCTTTTAATACAAAATTTAAATAAGAATAGATAAAATAATAACTAACGATCCTCCGAGTTTTATTTCAAATTACTACTATTTGAAAAACTCAAAATATGATACCTCAAAGTCATTTGAAATCATGGGCAATTAATGCCTCTGGCTATAAGCCGTTTTTTCTTTCTCAATAACATCAATATTATCATTTTAATAAGAACAATATTTCTAAGTCATCAAGTCACAGAGAAATGTTGATTTAGAATTATCGTACCTTATGGATATAATAACAAGAGTTACAATAATTAACACACCCACAAATGCCACCTTTATATCCATGTCCTTGATATGTGACCCTTATCCCATGGTATATCTCTCATTGATATGTCACTCTTCTTTCCTTTTCAAAACATGGTTTCATACTAGAACAGACTTAAGTCACCACGTCTGGAAGAAACATTCAAAACATGGTTTTATACTAGAACAGACTTTTGTCACCACGTCTGGAAGAAACATTTGATAAACTCAAAACATGGTTTCACACCAGAACAGACTTACGTCACCACGTCTGGAAAAAACCTAGTTCCATACTAGAACAGACTTAGGTCACCAAGTCAGTATTTCTTTCAGAACAGACTTTACGTCACAATCGTCTTAAAAGAAAACATCAGTATCTTTTCTCGGTTCACAAATCTCATTTAAAAGATACAAAATACCTTTTTCTCAATATAAAACAGTTTAAAACTGTTTAAATAGCATTTGTTAAATACCACAAATTTTTTAACACAAGTTGTTGGGTCATCTTTTCCCTCCATCGGCCAACACTATGGCTGATGAACCCTCCTCATCGGACACCCCTACCCCGACAACACTTGGAAATGTCCAACATAATCACCGGTCATACCATGTTCGGATACACCTTCATCGGACAACACATTGTCTGGATACACCCCTCATCGGACAACACATTGTTCGGATACATCCTCATTGGTCAACACTTAACAACAATGTTAATAAACCGGCTAAGGATTTGTCCGATGAGCATCCTCATCAGGACAAGGCCTGTCCAATAACCAATCCAAACCGATCAACATTTAGCCACTTTATATATTAATTCCATACCGTATTTGGGCGATAAATAAATACTATCCGGACAACACTATTGTAATAATCTGGTTATTATTTTTTTTAGATATATATATATATATATATATATATATCATCAATTAATTTATATATATATGATGATATGTATATATGTTTTATATGTATGTATATGTTATATATGTATGTGTGAGAGTTTTAATTTAATTAAAATAAAAGGGGAGGTCGGCTTATATGACCGCCTATCTCCTCTCCTTGTGTTGGTACTTGTATATATAGTTTTGAGGAAGAAATAGGTTCACACACACTTGCTATTTTTAGAAAGTTTACTCTCTGAAGAATTGGAGGATTTCACAGGAAGAAGAAGATTTCAAAGGTTTTGATTCTCAACTTTTAAAAGGTGGGTGTATAAAAAGCTTTGGATATGAATTGCTTACATACAGTTTGATAAGCATTTAKAACTGATTATTATGGGTTTGGTTGCATTTTATAATGATTCATGAGTAAACCGTACAAGTGTTGTTCGGATTGAAATCCGGATAACTAAATCGCTCATGTCTTATCCGGAGTGTCTTCTAAACCGACCAAGAGGTGACCGGTGTATCATCTAAACCGGCCAAGAGGTGACGTATATCATCTAAACCGGCCATGTGGTGATCGGTTTAATTCTAAACCGCTTGGGTCAAAAGGTTTAAGTCTATAAACCGGCTAAGGAATAACCGGTATACTCTAAACCGGTCAAAAAGTTAAATGATGTATTGTCCGGTATACTCTAAACCGGACAAAGGGTGAACGGTGTATAGTCCGGTTTACTATAAACCGGACAACATTATAATCGAAGTATTGATCGGACTTGTAATCCGGACAAGGGAGTTGGTTTATTTTCAAGGTGTTTTGACCGGACTTCTAAACCGAACAGGTTTGACCGGACTTCTAATCAGGATGAAAAGAGAATGTTTTTGAAATGTTTTTGAAATATAATGGCAGTGTAACTGCGTGTGAGATGGCAGTGTAACCGCGA